GAATAAATATTCTGTTACTTAAACAATACAGACACTACGGGAATTTTTGCCGATCAATGTTTTAATTATTTATTGGATTGGAAGGAATACCTGGACATCTTGGTGTTTTGCAAAGAGACTCAAAGCAAAGATCAATGCCATTGCCGTTGTGTCGTGACCCTACAAAAATTTCTTACATTAGGTAAAAACTAAATTTCTGTTTCTCGCTACTATAGGGTACTGATTCCAACGAAGGAAAGTTTCGACGATAACGTTTAATGTTTCTTCTAGTTTAAACACTGCTTAAAGGGCGTAATCTCCACACATAAATGTTCCCTTGAAACATAAGAGATTTTGCAATCGATTGAAAATTAAGCGAGATAAGCTGTTCTTCAGACATATGTTCCTTCATTACTTTTACCTCAACAAAATCGCAATTAAACGCACCGCTTAATAATTGAAGCTTTTATAAATAAAAACATTTATAAAAATAGCAGATAGAGTTTCTTTAAATTTTTTTGAAAGTTATTTTATATCTTTATATTTTTTTTTTTAAGTTATTTGTGAGATGTTTCACTAGAAGAGCTTTTTGATAACGATCAAACTCAAATATCTTCAGAGTTTTTCAAAGCGTTATACATTGCCTTAGGACACCTGCATGCAATGAAAACAATGTATAAGGAAAGAAAATAAGTAAAATATAATTCAAACGGCAAAAATTAATTCTTTTTTTAACATTTTCTTGTTATCTCTTATTATTCGAATTAAATAATAAAGCTTACCTCAAACATAAAAGTATCTACTTCCTCTCGAATTCCTTCGTCATCAATTTGATTACCATTTAGAGAAGCGGCTATGAGTAGATCAAGCATAGAGAGTCTTTTCTTTTGTGTTGAATCTGTGAAAAGAATGTATGAATAATATTTTTTCTAAAATAAGCATTTATTATATTACAATAAATAAAATACTTGTATTCGTTTCTTCTAAGTTTTGAAGGGAAGTGTCGATATTTTCCGTTTCTTCAAATTGGTATAAATACTTTCCATTAGTTTTTTCGTGAAATTGTTTTCTTTCTGCAATTATCTATAGAAAGTGTAGCAATTTAAAAAATCTAAAAGAATTTATGTAATTGTAATTTCAGTTTTTAGCGGATTTGAATGACTAACTTACGTCTTTTGAAAAACTATGTAATATGTTCAATACTTTTTTGTGAAGTCGACCAACTGAAGAAAGTCCAAATATACAGTTTACATAGTACCAAGGTCTTATGAATCTATCAAAACAAAAATAGTTCTCTTTGATAACATATCTTCTTCAATCGACTAAGATACTCTTTAGTAACCGAGATATTTATTACCTATACGCCGCGATTCTTCCGAAAGCGTGAACAGCATCACGATACTTAGATTCAATTTCTTTTCTTTCTTTTAAAGAGGTATCTAGAGCTGTTTCTACACGTAAGCTCGCATAAATTATTTTTCTTCTTCGAAAATCAATAAATTATGAATTATAACTCTACTTACCACATATTATGTTTAGTGTATGTTGCGTAATGAATGTTTGTAAATTTTTAGCAATAGCGTCTCCTTGTCTTTCTTGTTTAAGGGATTCAACTAGGCAGTGTGCTTCTTTGTTGAAAATCGTAACACTATGTTCCAGAATTTTAAAGTGGAATGCGGGTGTTAACATTTTCCGCCTTTTTTGCCATTTCTTACCTTACAAATTATACAAATCATTAAATACGAAGAAATATGTTAATTTTTCATGATTTTCTTGAACTATTACCTGTACTAGTCAGCAATCCATACGATAACCAAGGCCTCAAGAAGTAATAAACATATTCTTTATCAATATTTTCCGTGCTCGTCATCAGAACCTGTCAAGAAAATTCCTTTTTTCTTTATTCGACAAAATTTCGCTATTGGTTTATGTATGAGGATTATAGCGAAAAAGGAAGAGAAAATTTTGCTTTCTCCTGTCGTGTAATCATTTACCTTAATATCATCCGGATGAAGTAGAATTACTGCATAATATGAAAAGACCCATACTTTGTAAATTGGAAAATACTTATTATTTAGTTCCCAAGCTTTTTGAATGAAATTTTCTACAGTATAAACAAAATATTTGTATCATGTAAATATAGAATTTAGTAAAAAATAGTTTATATATAATAGTTTTACTTTTTGAAGAGCTTACCATCGTATAGATTATGAATATTTCCAATTATGGGATATTCTTTTGGTCCTGGAAGACAGTCAAGTATTCTTCCAATTCTTCCATATTTTATTTTGCAGTGCAAAACAAATAGTAATAGAATTGAGCTTAAGAAGATCGTAAGGAACATCATATCTGAGAAATAAGAAAAATAATTGCAATAAATGTCTTTTAAATATATAACTTATATAAAATATATATTAAAAGAAAACATCATGTATTTTTTATGTTACTTAGCATACGTAAAAATAAAGAGGAGTTACCTTATATAATTATGATATTGATCAGATTTATGGAAAAGATAAATATCCTACGAATGTAATCATTGTTACTAGTAATATATATAGACTATTATTTTTTCTTTGGTGTTGATTTAACATAAGACGAAACTGAAAAAGATTGCGGACCGAAAATCTCAGAAGAAACGTGTCAAAACACACAGAGTATATATTTTACAATTTAGAAACATGGAAATTTTCGAAATTTTATAAAAATTGGATTTACAAACCTATGGAATTAATCAAGATTATATATATTGTTTACGTTCTGAATATGGAGGATAATACGATTGTCAGCCGTTACAGATAATGCTTTTTAATCTTTTAAGTACAACTAAATTATGCGCTGGACTATATCTTTGGATGGCAGAGTCTGACGCGAACTACGCATAAACGATACAGCACTGCAATGTTTGACGAAAAATGCCGTTCTCTACGCGAGAACATTGGAATGAAGTATTTGTTAATTAAATTACAATTTTTCTTAATAATATATTGCACATATTTTAATATTAACAATTCACTTTAATAATTAATAATACAATTAGGTATGATGACATGATACGAAAGTCACTATAGTTGCACATCGTGCTTAACCTATTTGCATCAATGCGCGGAATAATCCGCGGGTCGCGACAGTCGACTATCACCAAGCGCGGAATAATCCGCGAGCCGCGACTGTCAGCTATCACCAAGCGCGGAATAATCCGCGAGCCGCGATGCCCGTTACAGCACATACGACCGACCGCGCGTGGTGATACGCGTCAGTCGTTTGTTGAACGTCGCTGATGTTTCGATGCGGGAACTTAAGTAGGGCGATGATGCAAATGGGTTAAGAGGTTAAATCAGTCACGTAAATGATGATAAGTCTTTTACACATAATTGACCAGGATATGTTAACATCAAATTTGTTTCTGCCATGGTAAATAGTTACTTCTTCCAGATTTGTAACTCTAGTAGTCAAGCTACTTAGACTTTAATCTGAGAAAATATTACAATAAAATCAAATAAACCTGACGCTCAAACGGTCTATGGGAGAATCTAATTATAATTAAGCCGTTTATTTTGAAAGTAATGTAAGACTATTTAAAAAAAAAATGAGATATCACGTAATTTATGCTTAATTTAGTGTAAACTTTTTATTTATAACTTGTTCATATTTCATTTTTTTTAAAATGTCAATGCTTTGTCCAATTTAAAATCGACCGGTACAAGAAATTGCGTAATTATTGGTTATGAAAATGGTGTAAGTCCAATTTCCATAGGAAAAAAAAGAAGAAAAAAAGAAAAAAGAATTTTCTGTATAAATCAGAAGATTATTATGATATTATAAAACAATGTAAACAACATAATAAATTCATTTTACATGAAATGAAACGAGAGAATTTCGTTTCAACAAAAAATCTACAAAACGCAATCCAAAAACAGATAACAAGAAACATTAATAAAGAAAACGTAAATTGGTTGCAAATATGTTGGATGAGGTTTTGCAAAAATACATCATATACTATTTTATATAAAATGTCGATGGAGGACACAGAATTTAAGACTTTAAATTTAACACTTACATATCCGAGAAGACTGTCAAAATTTGAAAAAATCGCCTTGGTTCCTTTGTATCACGATGTCTATTACTTATAAAAAATATAAGAATATCAAACAGTCATTGCACTATATACCTTCCGTTTATTATGAATATTTAAAAAAACTGTCACACAGATGAAGTGCATAAATAAATTCTACTAATATATTGTGATGTCCCGCCAAGCTTATAATTTCTAGAACATTATTTCTCGATTACGCGATATACCGGGAAACCGCACGTTAGTCTTGGTCTTACAAGGAGACCTTACGGTTGTGCCCCCACGGATTTTAACGAGCTTTGGTATATTAGTAGTATACTAGTAGGGTGTTATCGTGGTAAAGTATTTCATCCTAATGCGAAGCCAATTTTGAGAAAAAATCTTTTAAAGTTTTGATTTTTTTGTATATATATTTATATTATCTTAAATGCGACCAATTATCAAGTGGAGCAGTAGCGTATGTAGTAACGTTCTCGTTTCTCGTGCTGGTAGTTAGTGTTTGATCCTATATCGGGACATTTTTTTTTAATAATTTTTTCCTATCTGTTTTCAATTTGTTTTTTCATATTTCTTAATTTTTAAATATATACAGGAAATAGAAAATTATTTATTACAAAAAAATGAGAACTAATAAATTTTTTAACATCTTGTGCAAAAATTAAAAAAAATGGAATCCTTGAATTACAGTTAACACTTTATTTTTTAATTAGATGATATAGATCTAGAAGAAATAAAAGGTACAGGAGACTTACACAGTAACACAAGTAAATGCAGCGACTATAATGATTATAGGTAAATGTTATATTCTGTACGTTTCTTTAAGTAGATACGTCTTTACAAATCGAGATCCCGACCGTGAATGCCCTATCACCGGTGTAACAACAGTTTTTCATTACCTCTCAATTATTAATTAAAAATTAATCCTCTGGTGTGTTTGGGACAATATATTTTTTATGATGATATTCGTCGCACAAATTAAATATTAATTTACATTATTTATTGTGTTATATATATNATACAGTACAAGGGTTTTGAGTACCTTTTTTTGTTGACTAAATATTATCATCGAAATTTCCATCATCATGCAAAGAAGGGTTAAAGATTGATTTGATATTGCGCAATGCGACGACGAGTTCTTTTCTGCATTATATCGATGTATGCAAGAAATTTCGTATATTTGAATGGCGAGTTCATGTGTATATATATATATATATATATTCTTTATATATATATAGGAGCTTTCAAATAGATAGAAAGAAAGAAAGAGATAGTCTAAAGTCGAATCTACGGGCGAAGGAAAAGCCAACGAAGCGAAATGGTCTGGAATTATCGCTAGGATTACTTCTATTCAAAATCTTCTCTGCTTCGGATGACCACTAGTACCTTCCTACTATTACTATTACTACTACTATTACTACATCACAGACTGCAATGACCCAGATCGGTTTTCTCTTTCTATCTTATCTCTTAGGTTTCTTCAACGTTTAAACGTTTTCTTTAAATCGATAGAAAAAAGGATACCTTTCCTTATCCGTGTATTATTATTAAATTAATCAAAGTTAAACAAAATGCATTCGAGGGATATATCAAATATTATTCAATATATATCTTTTAATCAGTTGTTTCTCTTGTTCAAAAATCAAATTCTTAATAAGAAGGTATTATAGGGAATTGTGACATGAAAAAAAGAATTAGAACTTAATTTTGATAAGTTGGATGTTTTATTGGGACTTTTTCAGCTAACTTAATTTTTAAAGTGCAACGTCTTTTTTCTTTAAGTAGATCATACATTTTTATTTTTATTTTTAATATTATTACTAAGTTTAATTCTTAGGGATGTTTTTTTTTTTTTGGACAAGTTTAAATTAGATGGACAATCTATTTATCCGTTGAACGTTTCGTCCCTATATTCGGGACTTCCTCAGCAACTAAAATCTTTTTAATATTCAAAACACAGAAAACATCTATACACTTCGTTAAGTCTTAATCCATTATAATTTGAACACTCAACAAAATTGTTTCAATCTAGACTCATTATTCAATATATATATTAGAGTGGTCCTTAACAGGGGTGTTTTCAAATTTCTTGGCTCCCAGGGGCTCAAAAGCTTCCAAATCTATAAAAAAAAATTCTCTGAAAATTTGAGCTCTTAATATCAACTCTAAGATAGTCCGCATTCCAACCTAAGTTTCTTATGGAAATAATATGAGAGAAATTTCCTTCGTTATTTAGAATTTTATTATTCAGGAATAAATAGATCTATCATGATGAATCATACATATTTTCATGTAGAATTTAACGGTCTACAAAAAAGGTCTCTTATAATTTTTCGCTAAATCTATTAGTTTACAAGTTATTTTAGCTTAAAGTTTCATTTTTATATAACTATTAATATCATTAAGTATGATTATTAAGTAAATAATTATATATTCAAAATATATTAAATATTTCTTGTAAAATTTTTATTTATGATCAAACATAAGCAAATATAATGTTATCCGTAAAATTGTGAAATAATATATGTGATTTTTAAATAAATTTGAGCCCCTGGGAGCCAAGAAATTTGAAAACACCCCTGTTAAGGACCACCCTAATATATATATATATATTATTATATTAATAAATATTATATATATAATATATATTACTCATCTCGATTGGATTATTAACAAATTGTTTTAATTACCATGAGATTATTTTTTTTTTTATTGTATAATAGGAAAATAAGGAAAGAATAAAACGCGAACGAAAAGTAGGAAATAATAATAAAAAGCGACTGATTACGATTCAGAAAGCAGTCCCTGTGATATTTTCTCCTCTCTCTCATGCTCTCTCTTTCTCTCTCTCTCTCTCTCTCTTGCTCTCACTCTCTCTCTTTTTAAGATTTTACGATCGGACGTTTTTAATTTCCCGCGCGCGCGAGCGTCTACACACGTGGGCTCTTTTTAAAAGAAAGTCCAACTGAATGCAAATTCTGACAGGAAAGTTATGCGCACCGAGAAATTAATATGCTCCAGCCCGTGTTTCCAACCTCTCTATACTTTTACTTCCTCCAAAGAATCGGAATTTAACGACTCGTTATGTATACCTATACCTATAATACACATACAAATACATAGTATATATATATATATATAACATATATATTACATTTATAATTAGTTATTATATTACTTGCGTAATAATGATGATTTTGTAATAATATAAAAACGTTTGCAAATAGAAGAAACTTAACACACTTTATTATAATACAAATAGACTCTTTTTTGAATTAAGTTTCCTATAAAATTATTATAAAATATTCTAGAGAAATATAAGAAGAAAAAAATAAAGTGAATTAAACACTTTACAATAACGAAAAAATAAAAAATAAAGAAATAATAAAAAAATTACAAGGAAAAAAAATCTACCCGTCGCGAGTTCGATCCGGAAACATTAGGGAGACGAGACCGCGCCGTTATTCATTAAAATATCTAAGAAACAGATATACCAGGTTTGTTCAAAAAGTATCGCGAATTTTGAATTCCCGCGGGTTACGTATATTCGATTTTGAATTTTTTTGACTCATGTCCCTCACTTATGCTGACAAGTTCGGTCACTTTGAATGTTCAGTTAATTTTTGACAGTTATTTTGCTTGGACGTGTTTTGGCTCGTCTTTGATTTTTGCCTATTTTTCGGCTTTTGCACCATGCTAACGTCCGTGCTCACACATTGTTGCTTGTGCGAGACTTTTTGGCCAAAAACAACACAATAATGATTCGGCAGTCCCCTTTGTCCCCTTCAAAGTAATCCCCATGAGATATTATACACTTGTGTCATCGTTTTTTCCAATCCTCGAAGGACTTCAAAAAATCATTTTTAGTGATCTTGTTCAGCTTTATATCCTCAATCGTAGCATAGCGTCGTCCTTTCATGGGCCTTTTCAGTTTCAGGAACGAGAAAAAGTCACAGGGAGCCAGATCTGAGGACAAAGGGGGCTGTGGAATCATCCGGAATCAAGCGACAATGTGTGAGCAGGCGCGTTAGCATTGTACAAAAAACGAATAATAGGCAAAAATCGAAAACACGTCCAAGCAAAATAGCTGTCTAAAATTAATTGAACATTCAAAGTGACCGAACTTGTCAGCATAAGTGAGGGATATGAGTACCAACATAATGCAACAAACAAATTTTAAATCGAATATACGTAACCCGCGGGAATTCAAAATTCGTGATACTTTTTGAACAGATCTCGTAAACAGGATCAGAGTATTTGGTTTTGTTTTTCAACACTGACAAGGAGATATTACGGTTGTACACAGATGGATTTTTATGAGCCTTGGTATATTAGTAGTACACCTTTAAGGTATGCTCATGGTAAAATATTTCGGTGAACTAACCAGCAAATTTTGAGAAAAAAGCTTTCATTTATATATGTGCTTATTTTCTTGTAAATTCAATTGTTTATCAATTGGTGCAATAGCGTAGGTAACAGATAGCGTTCTCGGCTGTCGATCCGAATGGGTTAGTGTTCAATTCTTGATGGGGAAAGAATTTTTTTTATGAGTTTAAATTTATTAATTATTAACTATATACAGGAAAAAGAATGAAAATGATCACAAAAAAATTCGAAATATAATAATAAATTTTTTAAAATCTTGCGCAAATAGTAAGAGACGATTATTTTGTAGAATTACAGTTATCATTTTATTTTTTAACCAGTGAACATCATAATAATATATATAACTTTAATAGTATAACAAATAACAATTATAGATACTCTAATTATTAAAAATATCCTGCAAAAAATTTAATTATTTCAATAAAAATATTTAATAAATAATTAATAAATATAAAAACATTTTTCTTTTTAAACTTATATAGATAAAAGAAACTTATAAAAAAGAAAATTATTTCCCTATCATGAATTAAACTCTCTTATATAACTGAATATAACTTCTTATATAACTGAATTGAATTTCCATCGGATCGACAGCCGCGAACGCTATTACCTACGCTATTGCACCAATTGATAAACAATTAAATTTACAAGAAAATAAGCATATATATAAAAGAAAGTAAATTTTAAAAGCTTTTTTCTCTAAATTGGCTGGCCGGTTCACCAAAATATTTTACCATGAGAATACCTTAAAGGTGTACTACTAATATACCAAAGCTCGTAAAAATCTGTTGGTGTGCAACCGTAATATTTCCTTGTGAAATAACTTCGTGTTTAGAGTGACACGAACCAGACGAATTTTGTTGGGACATTTCTTACCTATTTTGGTAAGACCAGAGACTAAATGAGCGGAAGGATCAATTTTAGAAAAAATGTCCTTGACCATGACATCATCAGAAGAATCTGAACTAAACGATGACGAAGAGTCTTTTTCATCTAAATTGAATAAAATGATGTTAGAAGATTTCATCTCTTTTTTTGTAATTTCGCCAATGACTTCCTAGGTAGCAACGGGTTTCTTCGAATGAACATCGTGTATATTGTTGTCTATAGTAGAGATATATCGATCAATAATAACATTTATATCATCTCGATGCTTTTGAATATCATCTTTACAGTTTTTAAGGAGATCAAGCCTCATAGATTTAAATTCCTCTCGAATAATATCGCGAATCTGATTAGTATACGGGTAATCTTTCGAGAATAAGAAAGCAGTAGTAATATTCGATTTGCAGTCAGTAAACTTATCCCCAACGAAAGAATGAGAACGAAGAAAAAAACGTCGAAAACATGATGGATGAGATGCAATATATAAGAGTTGCATATGATTGGTTTAGCAACGCTAGTACCACATCCACTATAAGTTTTAGCCATTGAAATATTAGAAGTACAAATAAGTTTCCGCCGTTTTAATGTAGATAGCGCGGCGCGGAGTTTCCGTTAACTTTCGCAGATGATATCCTGCTTAAAAATTAGTTTGGACGTTTAATAACAACATAACCTATTAATATTATT